AGCCACTTGCCCTGGTTGATCAAGAATAATGAGTCCAGACTTGACCGAAGAGGACGCACATCATGGAATACAGTCTCGCACAGACATGATGTTAGATGATTACTGGAACTTAAAGTGTGCACTGTCACCAGTTCTGCATAAGGACTCACATGTTGACCATCAGGTGTTCACTAGGGACTGGCACAACCCTCTCAGTAGCCAGAAAACAGAAACAAAGCAAAAGTTAGATTGATGCAGTGCTTGAGCATGGAGGCCTTCTGTTGCTCAACTGATCTCCAATGAAGTATACATGGAGGAAACCAGAATTCTGGAATACAGTGTTGCCGGTCACTTTTATAATTGATAGAGTTTGGGAGTGAAAGGTTAAAAAAGGTCACATTTCAATGCTAAGACATCATCAGCATTTGTTTCACCTCCGTTGATTAGCAGCCTAAATACTACACCCTAACAACCACCTGTCACTATCTGGCAACCAACTAGTTTGTCTCAGCAACAACCTAGAAACACCCTAGCAACTACCAACAAACACCTTAGAAACCACCTAATACATCTTAGCAACCATGTACTTCACCTTAGCAAGCATAACAACCCAGCAGCCACCTTATGCACCTACACTGTAAAAAAAATTCGTTTGTACAAGAAAAAAATCTAATACCAGTTTCCCTGGCTTTATCTTGTTCGGTCAACTTCTGTAAATTACTAGTTTTACTGACTGATATCTGTCAACACTAAAATATTTAGTTGAGCTAACATAAGAATATTTGTTGTACTAAGTACAACTAGTCTCAAGCAAAGAGGAGAAGTACAACACAGGTGAACACAGCTGATCAATCAATAATCTGCCACTGTTCTAAGAACGTAATATATACATTATTATATATTAAGCCACTACATACTGTATCATGTGTTGAAAATTGTGTTCACAGGTAAGCATACATGAATTGATGACACCAGAAATCCTTTAGAAACAATTACGATGTATTAACTGCCTAAGCAAAACATATACAGAATTCAGACATATTGAGTGGAATAGCAGGTAACATCTACAACGGTGTTAACAAAAAATACAAATTAAATTACATCACTGTGCTTGATTTTATGTATACACTTACTGGCCACTTTGTTAGGTAATGGTGCCTTGTATTTATTTACTTTTCTATTTAATCAGGTCCATTAAATATATATGTGCACTTTGTAATTCTGCAATTGCAAATGGTAGCTGATCTTTTTCTCTGCATACTTTGTTAGCCCCCTTTCACATCATTTATCAATGATCAGGACCTGCCAAGACCACCACAAAGCAGGTATTATTGGTTAATTCTCAGCACTGCAGTGACACTGACATAGTAAGTGTGGTACTAGTGTATCAGGTACAGCAATGTTTTTTTAATCACCTCAGTGTCACTGCTGGACTGAGAATAGTCCACTGATGAAGGACTAGAGGATGACCAACACAAACTGTGCAGCAGCAGACGAGCTGTCGTCTCTGACTTTACATCTACAAGGTGGACTGACAAGGTAGGAGTGTCTAATAGAGTGGACAGTGAGTGGACACAGTGTTTAAAAACTCCAGCAGCACTGCTGTGTCTGATCCACTCAGACCAGAACAACACACACTAACACACCACCACCACCACGTCAGTGTTACTGCAGTGCTGGGACTGCGTCATGAATAATACCTGCTCTGTGGTGGCCCTGTGGTAAAAAGGGAAAGGGGGAGGGCACTGTATACAAAGAAACAGATGGGCTCCAGTCTGTAAGTCAGGAGTACTGTAAAAATAGCCAGTGAGCATATATGTAGAGTATGTTTGGGAGAGAGAATGAACATCGGAATCCTACCTGTTAAATATACTCAGCTCTTAACAGATGTGAAGGTCTCTGGTCAATTTCTTTGTCTCTTGCAGTTTGTGAAGATGGATTCCTCATGACTGCATCTAAAATGAAGAAATAAGTGTTGGCTAGAAGAAAAAATATAACATAAGGAGAAGAAAGAACAGATTTCACAAACTTGAGCGTAATATAGGATTGTTAGCATGTAAAATCGCTTGGCAGCTAGTTGCCAAATCGCAGTTCAGTTGACCTTATTAAACTAATGCTTTAACTGTACCAGTCACTCGACTTCTCCCCCTTAGATTTCTGTTTTTATCATCTAAACTCGTGGGAGAAAAGCATCGAACATGCTCTGTGCTGTGTGAGCCCGTTAGCCTGCTTCCCATCAAGCTAACAGCCCCACACATCACAGACCGTAGTTAGTTAGCTAGCTAGCTAGCTAGTTTCTGCGTTTCTCCTCTTCAAACACTAGTCAGTCACTCGACGTCTCCCGTTCAGATTTGCGCCCATCATGGTCAGCACAGGTTAGCCGGAGTGAACCAGTCATCCAGCAGAGCTATTACCTTAGCCTTAGCTCGCGCATACGTAGCTAAGCTAGCTAGGTTATTTAGCTAGCTAGCAACTCTAACAAGTGTACACACTGGTTTATTATACCATAAATTCGACACCGTCTCACTTTAAAATTGTAACTTAGCTAAAAAGTTGCCTTTCTCATATTTTGTGAGAGCAGTCATCTAAAAGAGGTGACTCGCTAGCGAGCGAGCTAGCTAGGTTATCTAACTTAAATGTTAGCAAGTGATGCTTATTTTCGTTTTGACATATTAAGAGTTCAACATTCACAAATTACAGAATTAGGTTTTAATAAATATCCGATTGAAAAACTGCTGCTACGTCAAGTTTCCAGAAGCGGCTGTAGGCGCGCAGATATCGTCTCCGCGGTGAAGCGTTGGTGGCGGCTCGAAGATCCGTCATTACGGGTGTAATCTGCTCTCCTCAATATGGGAGGAATCTTCCTGTATGTTTTTTTCCTACACATTAGAGAGCCTCACCTCTGCCCGTACCTCAACAGCAAAATCTGTAATTTAAGTCCATGCCATGCTAATCAAAACTAATGCATTCGCTAGCTGCTAGCTTAAATTTGACCTACAGCACAGGAAATTTGACATGTTTGGTAAGCTGCAGTAACTTAAAAGTACGCAGTTGGCTCCGCGTGGGGTGGACACCAGAATGGACAGAGATACCCACCGCCAAAGAACTCCAAGCAGGTTGGCACAGCCTCCAGTTATCTGAGGGACTGTTTTACCTTTTGTGGGAGGAGCCGGTGCGAGGTGAGCGTATCTGGCAGTTGCTGGTGTTGTGTGCCTGTATAAAACAGTGCTGGATGCGGTGCACAGGGCAGCTGCTTGAGGCACTTTGAGGTGAGCAAGACCCTCAAGCGGCTGCAGCAGAAATTCTACTGGCTGGGCTGCTGGCTATACCTGGAGCTCTACGTGCACTGCTGTGACCTGGGTACAGCCAAGAAAGGGCCGCTGCATCCGTTGCACGCTCCACTGCAGTGACTCCACTCCTGTGCCCCAAAGGAACGTGTACCTCTGGACATACTGGGCCCATTACTCACCTGGCTTGTGGCCATAGATTATTTCACTGAATGGCCTGAGGTGTATGCAATCCCAGGTCAGAGTGTGGCCACGAGCATTTTAAGCCAGTGCTCACTACTCAGCTGCCCATTGTTACTGACCTTCAACAGTCTTGCTGGCCTGATGTTTCACTGTGCAGGAGATGACTGGGTTCACTCTGGCTCTCTTCTTCCAACCCCATTAGGGCTCCTGAAGAGCTGTTCTAGTACCAGGTCAGGGTGGGGTGGCGGACTGTTGTGTTTCATAGAGACAGACTTATCCCATACCAGCCCCCATGAACAGAATAACACACAGGGGCCTCGCCTTGAGGAGTAGTTGAAAGCACTGAGGGCAGAGGGATGCACCCCTCGGAACCTGTGCTGACCGGGACAGTGGACATTCTGAGACCCCTGCTAGAGGTAGACACCTCAGTGCACACTTGAAGGACTCTGTGGGCTTTGTGGCAGCTACCACGAGGCGTGCAGCCTCTCGGGTGTAGAAGCTTGTCTAAGCAGATGGCTATTAGAGTAGGATCATGGAAGGCATGCGCTCCCAGTAAAAAGAGTTTGCGTTGTTTTTAATGTTGTTTGTTGTTGTTCATCTTTTAAAGCGTGTGAATGTTTTAATTTATTATTTTGTGCCGGGTTTATTGGTTAATTAGAATGGGTTTTTGTTGGTAACCGTGAAGAGAAAGAGCAGCTGTAGGAGCCTGTCTTTTTTTAGTTGCTTTTCGAGTGGCTTTTCTGCCTTGTTCAAAATAAAAGAGCATTTTGAAACGGAAATCATGGCCTCCATCAGAGCCGGTTTATGAGGAGCCTGGCCGCTTCTAATTTCCTCCCGTTATATCAAAAACAGGACTGCTAAACAGCAGAGGGCGCCCGCGAGCGAGTTCTCAATGAATGAGTGTAAATGGAGCTCAACAGCTAAAAACAAAAAGTTAGAATAGTTTCTAATCACTTGCCCAGAATGTTTCTTTAATTTTAGAAAGTAGAAGGATGTATTTCACTAAAAAAACAAAGAAACCCTATCTATATGTTTCCTTTTTTCTACAGCAAACGGGTTTTGGGCAACAGAAGGCGGGCATTACTGCTAGAGAGTGATGATTGATTGGCGAGCGGAGCAGCTCATTGGCTGTTCGCGCTCACAAACGTCATGGACGTACATAAGATGCCGTTTTAAACTCATATAGCTCGAGTTTCAAAGCTCTTAAAATATAACAGCAGTGTTAAAATGTTTTATGCTATTCAGTGTTCATGAAGTGATTATAAAACTATGATTTTGCTCAAATGCTCCATATCAACCCATTCATTTTGGACTCACTCGGGAGCGCCCTCTAGCGTTTGAGAAACCCGGAAGACATTGCAGAGTGGCAACCTAATTCCAGAGAGCTTTGAAACTCGAAATACATCCTTCTACTTTATAAAATTAAAGAAACGCTCTGGGCAAGTGATTAGAAAATATTTTAACTTTTCGTTTTTAGCCGTTCAGCGCCATTTAATCCCGTTCATTGACGACTCCCTCGCGGGCGCCCTCTGCTCTTTAGCAGTCCTGTTTTTGATATAACGGGAGTATAATAGGAAGTGGCCAGGCTCCTCATAAACCGGCTCTGGTAATTCTCCTCTCTACAAGTTCTCTACGCTCCATTCTCAAAACAGCAAAGACTTTCCGAAAATTTGTCTCCATTTGTTGGCTGTAAACAGAGACTGCAGTATATAAAAATTGAGGTCATTGAGGCACGTGACTTGCACTGTCCAATTGGAACCTCTGTTGACGATTTGAGCTTGGCAGCAAGGAACAAGGTTAGGGCAATCGTATATTAGGTATGTCATGATACTAATGCAGTCATTCAATACGAGATTTTATTCCTGAAGTAAAATAATCTTCGGCCTTGACCATGGGCCAGTGTGGAGTGATTTCTTCGAAAACGGTTTTGATCTTTCTCAACCTCATTTTTTGGGTAAGTTAGTATCCTTCAAGAAACGCAGTGGCTAGCGTGCTAGCAAGGATGTTTTGTGAGGTGCTGCTAGCTGTTTACCCACATATCTTCATTTTTGCACTTCAGTCATTGATATACAATAAAATTCACCCTTTGTTCACGTTCTGATGTTCACAGGCTTCTAAAAGTAAAGATTGAAAAATAAGCGATTTACGCTAAAATTCAGCATGCAGTAAGCAGCTAACAGTCTGTCTAGCACATTGTACTGTTAATGCTTAACAAGGCTTACTTAATGTATATGAATTCATAATGTATTTTATCAATATGAAGACAGAGTTCTATGAATGCGTACCGACTGAGTGCATAACGTCGAAGAATACCTGTTCAAACTGAAGCTTGTTTAGCTATGATATAAGCTTTGAGTGCACCGTCACCTGCTGCATAGTTTGTTTATGTTCTTCACGTGTAATTAATTCAGTAATCTATATTGGCATGACAACATTTTCGTTACATTAACTACATATTTACATTAATTAATCACCTAGGTGGTTGGCTCGTATTTGTAGTGTTTATAATCCGGATGAAGCATAGCTTAAAACGGATAAAAATGACAAGAAAAATGTGTACTGTGCTGTTTTTAATCATGGCACATGTATATTTGGTTTGCATTGTAATATGTTACGTTACATTTCTGACCAGCAATAAATGTAACTTTTTTTTAATTTTGTTATATTAGTCTAAATTTACTGGAAGACAGTTTTTTGTACTCTGATAATGCTTCCCCTCTCACACTTTATTTTTCAATTTGAAGGCTACTGCAGGTATATTGTGCTACATTGGTGCGTATGTTTTCATAACATATGATGACTACGATCATTTCTTTGAAGACATCTATACCCTCATTCCTTCGGTGGTGATCATCGCTGTAGGAACACTCCTCTTCATCATTGGTTTCATTGGCTGCTGTGCAACCATAAGAGAGAGCCATTGTGGCCTGGCTGCTGTAAGTTGAAAAAAGTTCCTTCAGTGCCACATCACTGACATTACCCATCAGATTCCTGAACTGCATTCAGGAAATGTTTTTACACATGTTCAAACATATATAAACATTAAATACACAGCTCTGAGGTTTGTAATGGGTTGTGTTGAGACCTCCTAGAGATTATGTGACATGAAATGGTGTAATTCTTTCCATATGCCTTATCAACATTACAAACTATCTGCAAAGACACAGAAGTGGTTGAAAAAAGATTGACTTGTCCTTTATCTCAATATATTTGTGCTAGACAAAAATGGTTTTCAATGAATTGTCACTTGTATGTGTTTTCCTTTTTTTTCCCCGAAGTTCTCAGCAGTGCTCCTGCTGGTTTTTGCTACTGAGGTGGTAGTGGTGGTGCTGGGTTACATCTATAGAGCCAAGGTTAGTCATGACTGTTGATTCATTCTGATGTGAGTGTTTGTTCAAAGTAAGGTGTCACATCTTTTTGGTGTGTCATTTTACATTGGACTGTATTATTAGTAATGTGTAGTCATAGGAAGAACAAATATTGATGCAGATTCAGTTTAGAATTTGGTTGCTTCCTTACTACTAATGTAGCAGACGCAGTATGATGTCACTTTGTTTTTATATGTTGCATTATCTTTAACAAGGTGGAAGCTGAGGTGAACCACTCCATTCAAAAAGTGTATTATGAGTATAACGGAACCAGTTCGGATGCCCCCAGCCGAGCCGTAGACTACGTACAAAGACAGGTAAGAGCCCCCCTGACCCCCCACCCATGTCCGTCTCCCTGTCTCTCTGTCCATCCGCAGGGTCTAACGCTGTTTTCTCAATCTCTCCAGCTGCACTGCTGTGGGATCCATAACTACTCTGACTGGATGAACTCTCCCTGGTTTACAGAGTCCAGAAACCACAGTGTTCCTGTGAGCTGTTGCAAATCCACCATCAGTAACTGCACTGGAACGTTAGCACGACCCGGAGACCTTTACCCAGAGGTAGCCCTTATATAACCAGGCCTGGAGATTTTACCTATTAGCATTCAGCACACAAACTTTGTAGGTTTGCAATTAAAAGTCTCCATATAAGCAATGCTTTTGTATTTTTTTCTTTGTTGCAGGGATGTGAGGCTCTGATGGTGAAAAAATTGAAGGACATAATGCTCTATGTTATTTTGGCTGCTTTGACTTTTGCTGCAATACAGGTGAAGACACTACACATGCTTTTTTTCACATGCATTTTTTATGTATATGTAGTAGAACATATGTTTAAGACTAAGTTTCTGCCCTGAATCTGTATACTGTCTGGGCTGTGGCCTAAAACTAAAGTCAGATGGTATGTATTCTGCTTCCCTACCATCTCTCTGAGCAGATGCTGGGGTTGCTGTGCGCATGTGTGGTCCTGTGCCATAGGGGTCATCACCCTGCCTATGAGCTGCTGGTCAGCACGGGTTTAGACGCCTGAACAGCTCTATGGGAAATAACTTGTAGTTAGGACCATTTTATAGGAACATTCCATAATTTAAAAAAATGCCATTGTGTCCAGCATCAAATGATTGTTGGGATATGTGAAAGGTCAGACTGAGCATAGTTGGCTAAAGCATTACTTAGCACTCAGCTGACAACTGTGGCTTTCTGGTCAGCATTCTTACTATTTATTTAAAAAACACATTTTAATTTATTTTAATGTGATCATTTTACACTTAATGTATATGCCAAAGTTGCATTTGGCATTGTGTTATTCAAGTGTTCTTTAAAGTAAATTTGTTTTATTTTGTAAGTAGTGAGTGAAATAAGTCTAGAGTTTTTCTGCTCTAATTTTTAATGTAGTACCCTCATAGTTATGATAGCATGATCACTTTAATGGAGTTTAACAGGCTGAATTACAGTTATGAGGAATGCTGCACTGTTGTTGTTGTTGTTGTTGTTGTTGTTGTTGTTGTTGTTGTTGGTTTTTTTTTGTGTTAATTTGTTACTAGTACTGTTCTTCCTTATTGGCCAGGTTCTGTTATCATAGGTATCTTTTTGTTTTTGTAATTAACTTACCTCAAACGTGCCAAATTCAGGCTAGATAAGAAAAGAGCAGCTTATTTTGGAGGTGATTTTACTTAATTAATAGATCATTTCTGTATTACACCACTTTATCGTAGCAATATAACAAAAAAGTTGTTTCTTTTTGACAAAGGTATTTGCATCCATACACTTTCTCTTTCGCTTACGTTACTTTCAGGGGAATGTGTATATGTGCAAATAACGTCAGAACGACTTTATTTAGTATTATATTGCAGTACCTTTTTGGAGAACATCTGTTACAGATCATGTTTAAGATTTTATACACTACAAAATGTACAATACTTGCTGACCCTTATTCATCAAATTTGCTTAATGAGCATACACAAATTTTACTGACAGTTTCATTGTTCCTCTTTCTTTATTTCATCTTAGGTGTATCTGTACAATGAAACTCATGTCTAGTGCGTGTAAATTTCAGTGTAATATTTTAACAACCTAAAAAGTGCTTTGTGATTAAATAATCGAAATCAGTACTATCATAGAATTAAAAATAGAGAATATCAAGTATTAAAATAATTGCAGACAGTTGAATCCTTGTTCAAAAAATTCAGAATATTCTCACTATTGTATAACTTGAAAGTATGAATTGCAGATTCATCAGTCCTAGAAGACCACTTGTAGGCTTGCATGTGACAACCAATGGCTCTTAGGTGTACTGAATACTTTCCTGTTATTGTTGCACACCTGCATGAAGGGCTTATTTAATATAAATTATATGTATATGAAGGTAAACTCCATCTTGACTTTGGCAGACATGATTTAAAGTAAATTATAAGCCATTCTCAGTAAATTAAACTCTGATGAATAAGGGCCATGGGTCAGTGTAATTTGAATCATAAGTATTACTGGAGTAGATTTGTACTCTTGAATTGATTTCCAAGGATTTATAATTAAACATGAACAAAAGTTTTTGCTACAACTGTAAATGTTGGAGGGTTATGGTTGATGATTTCAACAGCATCTAGTTACTCTAAATGATTAAAAAAATTGTAAGGTTTTATAATTAGCCATTACATTAAATCTAAATTTGACAAAGTGAGGTAGGGACTGGATACCTTTTTAGAAGACAACTTTTAAATTGTCTTTCTATTGTTAAACTTTCTGACGGTTTTAAACAAGAATTATTATTATTTATTCCTTTTACCTGTGGAAGCACTGTATGTACATGTGAACCCTTACAGAAGTACATAGATAATTTTTAATATAGATTTTTCAGTAACTCACTTTGAATTTAGTTTTCCATTTATCTTTACACGTGTACTGACATACATACAGTGTTTTGAGTTATGGAAGGGTATGTTGCATTTTAATGACATAACTGAGTTATGTTAATAAATTAAACAACCAGTGTGTCTTCTCCTTTGGAATTACTCCAGTATTTCCTTTTAAACTACTATTATACTACTATTGTGGTGTTATTCATGGTGATGATCTGCAGAAGACAAGCATTATATACTTTTTTCCTGTTTTGTTCATAGAATTTTCTTTCTTCGTGGTTGCCTTGTGTAACTGTGTAATGTCCATTTCACTGTTTGCAGGCAAGACTGACTCCTCTTGTTCCACTTGTTCATCCTCACACCTCTCACTTTGCTATTCCTGTTGCATGTCTTTGATGTGCTCTGTTGTCTATAGTGGCTCATGATATTTTCTATATTCTTTCTCTCTGCACTCTGTTCAGCTCTTCTCTTAACTCTTCTTTTATATGTCTTTCTGATCCTGTTGCATATAGCTGTCTGCTCCTGTAATGTTTGGTCTTTTTCCTCTCTCTGTTCTGTTTTCTCTATTGCAAGATCTTTGTATTTATTTCATTCATCATTCTCATTTCATTTTATTTTCTTCCCTCCTTTTTCTATTTTCATCGTTTTTCTTAATAATCACATTTAAATATGTGAGTCTGCTATGGATTATTTCTATCACTGCAGTTGACAAAAGGGTATGAAGTAATAAATACGGCAGAAGGGTTGAATTATTTGAAGGCAATATGATTACATTCTTAAAGGGAATTATTCTATATGGAACCATGAACATTAAAAACCATGAACATTAAAAAAGAACAAAAAAGAACAAAAAAAATCCTTAAAACTTCAAGGGTCAAGATAAAGTCAAAAACTGCCAAGCATTTGAGTGTCCTCCTCCAAGAGATTTTTATGTTATCTGACTAAAAACTATGCATTTTCACATCATTTTAGACCAGTATAATTACAATATTTATAAAATCCTTATCGATTCAGTTTTTTATCAATACTCTTATCATTTTCTTTCTTTAAAGAAAAGCTTACAATTTTTCTTACTACAGAATTGGATTTATTTAAATTAGTATTTTGGCAGCACAGAGAGTAGAGGATGCAGTGTGATCATACATGACACCAAAACTTGGTAGAGAATTCAGATGATAGTTTTCTCTGTTCATTTGGCTTAGGCTCTGTAGAAAAAGGCTTAGGACCTGGTTAATTGTAGGGATTCAAACTTACAGCAATTTTAGAGGCTGTCGTTTGTACTGCTGTTTAATTGTTTTGTGTTATACTTAGAGGTGTTTATATGTACAATAATAAGGTTAGACTAAATATTAGGAAGAAGTCTCTTAAAACATATGCTTTAAAGGGGATCTCCACTGATTTTTGCACGATTTTTGCATTTCTGCATAATTCTGAGATGTAAACAAAGTCATTCAAAGTGGTCTGATGCAAAATGGTTCATTGCTGAGAAAAGTATGGACTCAGATTTCTTTACGGTGGTGGTAATAGGAACCGGGGTCGCCATTACTACAACACACATATAGCCATTTTATTTACTAACAAAAATCACCAGTGAACCTACATGTGTCTTCTGGGTTATTATATGCAAGGCTGATGGTAAATAGTGATCAATCTGAAAAAATTAAAGACTTCTTTGGGGACCGTTTTGCCTTAGAACAAACTTATTCTATCCTTCCACCATGGATAGGTTAAAATGAACCGATTCACATATGTATGTAATAACTTTCTGTGAGGGAGCTTTTAGAGGTAAACATCTGGTTACTATCACCACCACTGTAAACTATTCTGACTTGGTAAGTTTCTCTAACGGAGCATTTTGCACCAAACTACTCTAAATGGTTTTGTTGGCATGCTAACTATTTAATTATGCAGAAAATATTGGGGGAGTTCACCTTTTAAGACAAAAAACTGATATCAGTAGAGGATGCTCCACAATGGTTAAATCAAGAGATATGTTGTGAAAATAGTTCTTACGTACTTCTTACATCACTTGACAGCAAATGTGGCAGTTGTTGTCTTAACATAAGATGTAGTGTTGGACATCCGTTAGTAATAAGTGCCCCATGAATGTGTAAGTATTATAAACTATTATAATGGCTTGCTTTCCATCATTACAGTATTGACAGTAAAGAATGCAGAAACAAAAATCATTGCAAACCCAACGAGGGGGATTTTCACATGCTCACAAAATCAAACATGAATGTCAACAAAAAAAAAAAAGAAAAAAGTACAAAACTGTTGAAGAGATAGAAGGGGCAGTGCTGAGGCCAAGCTACTCTCTATTCAGTGATTTACTTCAAAACACGACAGTTCACTGATAAAGTCTGTTTTTAAGGACCTGGGCTTTCTTGGAGAGTGTGTTGCCTTCTTCCAGCTCCAGGACAACCTTCTGAAGCACTTCGAAGGTTACCTGAGTTCAGGAAGGTAGTTTAGGTTCAGAGCATACATTAGGCCAACACTTTGCAACATCACCTGGCCCTCGAGGACAATCCCAATGTTGTCTGGCATCTCTTTGAAAACATATATTTCCACTCTTGTCTCTTCAATGGATCCCTGGATGAGGGATTCATCTGCTGCCTGCACATTTACAAAATGAAACAACATTAGATTACACAAACACATAACATGTGTACAGGGAATATTATACTGAATATCTGCATTCAGTAATTTCATCAGATAATGGAAAATGTGAAGCTGCAGAATGAAAAGACTGAGGAGAGCAATTCAAAATAAGAGATAATTCAAGGGTCAAGATAAAGTCAAAAACTGCCAAGCATTTGAGTGTCCTCCTCCAAGAGATTTTTATGTTATCTGACTAAAAACTATGCATTTTCACATCATTTTAGACCAGTATAATTACAATATTTATAAAATCCTTATCGATTCAGTTTTTTATCAATACTCTTATCATTTTCTTTCTTTAAAGAAAAGCTTACAATTTTTCTTACTACAGAATTGGATTTATTTAAATTAGTATTTTGGCAGCACAGAGAGTAGAGGATGCAGTGTGATCATACATGACACCAAAACTTGGTAGAGAATTCAGATGATAGTTTTCTCTGTTCATTTGGCTTAGGCTCTGTAGAAAAAGGCTTAGGACCTGGTTAATTGTAGGGATTCAAACTTACAGCAATTTTAGAGGCTGTCGTTTGTACTGCTGTTTAATTGTTTTGTGTTATACTTAGAGGTGTTTATATGTACAATAATAAGGTTAGACTAAATATTAGGAAGAAGTCTCTAAAACAATTCAAGAAAATTTGAAAATTGGAACCTTTCAAAAAGTAGCCGTGCATCAGACGTGCATAAAATATGTACATTCTTGTAATTCCTCTAGCGTACAATATTTTTTAAATGAACAGCATCATCACCATGCTGAGGTACTCGTGAGGTTCTTGTTTAAACACATCCAGTAAACAAAAAATAGCATTTGAATAATAATACTCTCCACTACTACAGAGCCTTTGAAACAGCACCCAGAGTAGAGCAGAGGTCAATCTTTGGCCTAGGCTGGAGGGTATCTATATAGTAAAAATAATTTTAGTTTTCCAATTACTTAGTGAAGCTTTATAGAAATCAAGTATTTCCTGTCTATGTAAATCTAACAGCTCATCCAGATGTCCATTCAACCAGGGGAATTTAGTTAAGAAATAAATAGAATGTTTACTTTTGTAATTCAATTTTAGTACTCTAGTTTTAGAGAAATAAATTTATATTCTGCTCATGTAAATCTCAGACAACACATATACTGTAAGTGTTAATTCAACCACCTAAGATTTTGTTCAAAATGAAAAAAACAATTATACTCACCACAATTGCAGAGCCTTTGGAACAGTAAAGCAAAGCAATGGCCTTGGTTGAAAGAACTTAAAGAACAAAATTAAATGTTATTTTAAAAATAAAATAAAATATAGGAAATAACCGTAGGGGTCATATTTGCTTTTATTATGAGAAACCTGACTAACAGTCAAAACATTTTTCACAATGTATTGAAAATTTGTAAAAATCTAAAATGTATTTTTTTAATTTATATATATTTCAAGTCTGCGTTCAGCTGGGGTGTTCAAATTTACAAAGCCAGCCCCTACATTCTGTCTGTATGATACAGGGAGGTCATCTCTCTGATCTGAGTATATCATCTAGTTGACAAGGACATACTGATAATATTAGGATACCATCAGTCCATTTGAAGAATATCTATCAAAACCACCAGCGCCAGCTCGTTCTCCTCTATAAGAAACACTTATAGACCAATGTTTGTTTACCTACTTCTGTTTTTGTTTTTTTTTCCCCACAGATACACAATAATCCTGACAGATTAAGCAGTCAATCAAACCTCCCCCTTTCTCAAATTTGAGAAACGTATTTTCTTTTCTGATGGTTTGCCCTGCATTGTACATTGCAAACAGTAAAAAAAGGGAGTGTTTACAAACACTACTTGCTGCGCAGTTTCCGTTTTGACAGACTAGGAGAGATTAATAATGGAGACATACTGATGAAAGAATTAAGAATGTGTACTATGTTTAGGAATATAAAGATTTTGACTATAAGGCAATAAAATATTTAATTCAGCAGATATATGAAGTTCTTTCAATTTATTTCCACTGTATAATTTTGGAATTGGAGGCTGCCATTCCATGTGGACGTTGAAGCCATTATTCATGTCGACCCAGAATAATTACATTCACACTGTAAGGAAAAACAGTGTACCATGGTGCCAGTTATTTTTAGTTATGACATCACCTTAGACCAGGCTAAATTTATATTGCCCCAAGAGTCAGATGCATGCACTCTTCAGACGATTTTGCATTTTTCTGAGCCCTATTAAAACTAACAAAGTCTATTTAAAATTTCAGCTCACGATTTTTTTTGCTGTGTGAACCACTGCTCGGGATTACCTGTGTGCATTACTGCTCAATGTGCTATGTTGCTACTTATTTTAATGTATTAAACCAGCTTGGGCCAGGTTAAAACCAGGTTTTCCTTACAGTGGGAGACTGGCTCTCTCTCTAGGATATGTAATTTTTCTGACCTGATGTAAATAAGGCCTTCAGTATCTACCTGGAATTTCAGCTTCCTATTCATTTCACCTGTGAGCATTTTTGTCAACGTGTTAAGTTTCAACAAGTTCCAGTTATTTTAATGTTTTAAATCAGCTTAAGCCAGGCTAAAACTAGGTTTTCTTTACAGTGGGAGACTAGATCTCTGTCTGTGATATGTAATTATTCTGGCCTGTTGTAAATAATGCCTTCAACAACCACATGGAATTTCAGCTTCCTATTGATTTACCTCTGGGTACCACTGCTCTGTGTGCTATGTTGCCAATTATTAGTTTTTTTTTGTATAATGGGAGACTGGATCTCTATCTTTGATGTGTAGTTTCTCTGGCCCAACATGATTAAGGCCTTCAGTATCCACCTGGAATTTCAGCTTCCTATTGATTTTCCTGTGGGCACCACTGCTCTATGTCCCATGTTGTCACTTATTTTTTAGTATTAAATCAGCTTGGACCAGGATAAAAACAGGTTTTTCTTACAATGGGAGACTGGATCTCTATCTGTGATATGTAACTATTCTGGCCTGATGGGAATAAGGTCTTCAGCATTCACCTGGAATTTCAGCTTCCTATTCTTTTTCCTGTGGGCAACACTGAGCCAGGTTGGCACTTATTTTTTTTAGTATTAAATCAGCTTTGGCCGGGCTAAAAGTTTTCCTTACAGTGGGAGACTGAAACTCGTTCTGCGATATATAATATATCTGGTCCGGTGTGAATAATGCCTTCAACGTTCTTAATTAAAACTCAATGTGCTCGGTCTACCAGCCCTCCCCCGGGGTACTGATTGGAAATGGTATGACAGTATGCTAAATTGTCATACTGTCCAACCCTAGCTGCAGACATGTTTCAGCAAAGCCAAAGTCAATGCCAAAGTGAAATCAGTAACGTTATACTTTTAGCTTCTCATCCGACGGTTGTTGGCTTGTTGTAAGCCACTACCTTTTTAATGCAAATTTAAAAAGACGAGTTCTTTATTTTTTGTTAATGAATATTTATTGGTTTTTGATAACATACAGACACACTTAAAATTGAACACTAAAAACACAAACATAATTTTTGGCGGGGGGCGTCGTTGTTATAGTATCCACATCATGCCCATGTTATGTAAATATTAAATTACATTAGAATGCTCAGGTGCTACAATGCCTTGATAAAAGCAATAGCATTCGACCAGTTGTCAATTGTGGCAGCCGTCGCCTTGTGAAATCTAGCTGTAGCCTGTTCCAAAATAAGAATATCCATAAAATAGCAGTGCTAAGATGAACATAACTGAATATCTGGCACAAACCAACCCTTCAAAATAGACTTCTTGAACGCTGTTAAGGCAGCCATTGAAACTGTTTTTTTGCTGTGAATTGAGAGTTATAATACAATCACCATCTAGTAAGGGCAAACCTGGCCAACATTTAAGAGAACAGACAATGTCTGTACCACATAGCTCCAAAAGGATATAATATATGGACACTGCTAGAACATATGAAAATAATCCCCAACAGAAACTGGATTACAACCTCTATTAGAACTTTTTTCACTAGATAGTTTCATCAGAAAGGTGCAGCATGATGTTACATAGATCCTGTGGGCTAACTTGAAATGTATTCATTGATGAGATAAATTTCTGGATGAAGTGAAAATATTATGCCATATCACATCCCAATCTAGAATTACATTGAGAGCATTAAGCTCCCTATTCCAGACAGAAATTGAACCTATAGTGGAGTTTTTAATTTTAATAAGCAAATCATACAAATATGAAACCGATCATCGTGTTGAATTAAAGTTGTTCAGATGCTTAAGTAGCAGGTGATCTACTAACTGGGAGTCCCAGCGTACGCCATAGGCACGGAGAGCTGAATGAAGCATAAGATATAAAAAGTAAGATGTGCCAGGTGTAGAAAAAAAAAATTACAAAAATCCTGAAAGGAACGTAAACCATCTGAGTTAAAGATATTGCCCAATACATAGATATTCTTATTAGACCAAGGAGAGTAAACAAAGGGTCTTGAGCCTGTCAAAAGGAGATTATTAAGCCAAATGGGAGAAGACCAATGAAATTTAGTATCATATCCAGGAAATCTGCAGGATTGTTTCCATACATCAAGAGACCAGATGATGATGGGTCCAAGTCTAAGTGAAGAACTTCGATGTTTAATAGCTGCAAGGGGTAGGTCCTGAAGTCTGATAGGCGAGACTAAGTCTTGTTCTATAATTTGGCAAGATATTTTACAGAGAGGGTCAAACCAAATCTTTACATATCTTAGATAAAAGCCCAAAAATATAACTTAAAGTTAGAAAGAGCAAGGCCCCCAGATGATTTCCTACGCTGTGAAGAGGCTAGGTGATTTTTTTTTTATTCCAAATAAAATTGATACACATCCCATTAATATCCATAAAAGAAATTCAGTGGAGGAGAGAGAGGTAGCACTGAAAATAGAAAATTCACGCAAGGAAGAATGTTCATTTTCAATATTGATATCCTGCCAGCAAGAGAAATCTATAATAAAGACCATCTTTCCAGGTCTTTTGTTAACTTATCTAGCAAATGAGTAAAGTTATGTTTGCGAATGAGGCTGAGAGTAGGGTAAATTTTAACCCCCAAGTAAGTGAAACCAGAAGACTGCACCTGTATTGTTAAAAAGTCCGGAAGGTTGAGCTTTCCAGAGACGGAACCAAGAGGCATTAAGATCGACTTTGCCCAGTTTATTTTGTAGCCCGAAAACACCCCAAATTTATTGAATAAAGAGAGGGCACCTGATACTAAGTTATTGATATCTGAAAAAGTGTAGGCATAATTAGTGAGTTTTGCCTAATTGCCTGGGCTTAAAAGTTCTAATGAAAGTATAAAGAGACTCTGCGAAAGAGGGCACCCTTGCATCGTTCCCCTCTGGAGCGGGAACTGCGGAGAAATAATACATAACCTGTGGAAACACTGTTGGGTTACTATAGAGAATATGAATCATATTAATAAAAGAAGCACCAAATCCAAATATTTTTAGCACAGCCAACAAGTAACACCACTCCAATCTAGCAAAAGCGTTTATAGCATCTAAACTAAACACTGCTTTAAGGCTGCTGGTATCTCTACTACTGGCATCAATTATATGCAATAGGCGTGCAACATTATCTGAGGCTAGCCTGCCTTTCATAAAGCCAGTCTGATCATAATGTACAAGATCTGAAAGACTCCAGACTCTTCAAAAGAACCTTTGCATAAAATGTGAATAAATATTTTGTTAAAATGTGAATTTTGTGAACATCGTTTTGTTGGAATATTTATCATTTGTGGTGTTTTTTCTTCTGAAGGCAGGATAAATACTCAAAAAAAAAAACTGTTTAGTGCTTAATCCTTGCTGAGGAACACTCCCCCTCTGCTGACTATGTACTGAGTTCTAGTCTGCATCTAAATTTGTCTCACCTTCAAGCTTCCTATTTAATATCCTAAATAGTATAAAATTCCACAGTTGTATACAAAAGAAGGCCTTGCAGCTCCAGAGAAAGGAACTGATGTATGAATTTATAAAAAAAATAGTTTAGAAAAACAAATGTACCTTTTTTCCAAAACCATACCCATAAGTTTTTAATCATTTATAACTTCTCCAAATTATTAAAAAAATAAAATAAATAAAACTTTAAATGTACCAATGTTAGAAACAAGGAAGAAAGCATGATGGAATCATAGCGACCTGTTTACGTGGGCTCCACGTAAACAAACACAAAAAATGACTTATAATGGTAGAAGAACAGCATATTGCACAGTAGTACTACCATACAAACTAATGGTCTTTAAGTAGGTTTCAGTCAGTGATATGTGATGGTTAACGTGTGGCAAGGTAAGTTTCACATAGTAAGAATGAGATGAGGAGGCAGACAATGTCATGAATGGTCACTCTGTGTCAGAGTTTGATCAAATATGTTCCAGGTACGAGCCCAACCAAATCACCCCTTCGAGCCATCCACCACCCATCCTCTCCTTGATCAGTTATCAGCAAAACCTCTCCCCGAGTGATAGAAAGCTCATCTGGATCCTTGATACACAAAGACTAGATATTAGCAAATAATGTGTGAGAGCGTGGTTTATACAATATTATTTACATAGGTAAATGCAACTGAGGAGAATTTAACAATGTGTTTACCTGTGCTTTGTAATCATACAAAACTTTGTACTGCTCCTCATCAGCCACTCTGCTCTCCACAGTAGAGACATCCTCTCTGCTTATATGCTCATCAACTCCTGTGAACTCTGAGAGAAAAGATGAAGCTATGTCATCTAAGTTTCTAAGTATTACCTTTGTTCCAATAACAAATGAGCACTGGGCAAGGAGAATAGTACATACACCTCAAGAGAAAAATGCATGTCACATGCTTTGTGGTCAAATGTAGAAATTTGTTGAGTAATCAAGTAAATGACCTAAGTTATCAAGTCAATGACTTATTACAGTTCTTGCACCTTCATCAAAAGCCATAATGTGCTTGCTGATAATTTGCCTGATAACACCTTCTAAATGTGTATCAAGCACTTTACTACTTTCCAAAAAAACTCCTAAAAAAAAACAAAAAAATAAACAAAACAACATCTAAAAACTTTACTTCAGTGGTGTCTTAGGTTGCTAAATGTATTTATAATTACAGAAAATAAGGTTTGTGTACTCAAAGGACAAAATATCATACTGTGCATGCATTGTAGGTATCTGAGAAATGTATATGTAAAAACTAACATTAGCATAAATAAAAACAAATACATTGAGATTTAAAGTGTGTTTTATCTTAACCATTTCCAAAGTTCTTTTTAAAGAAGCCCAGTATTTACAGTTACCATCCAATACCTAGTCTGTCTAATCAATTCTTCAATAATTAGGTGTGTTCCTGGTAGAATTTAACAAATCCATACAGAGGCTAGAATGCATGGAGACATCACTGAGAAGCACACTTACTGCTGAAATAAACAGTTTTAAACAACTTTTACAGCTGCCTAAGACTTTTGCACAGTACCGAATATTTCAATTTACAATAATTTACCAGATACACCCACCTTCACACAAATTGTACATTTCAACAAGTCATATGTCACATGACTGTGGTGTAAGACATAGATCAGGCAGGCCAGTGTTTCTAGCATTGGTCAGTGTTCGGTTCAGGATTTGAATAGGCAGAATGAGTGACCTTAGTGACTTTGAACTTAGCATGACAGTTGGTGCTTGGTGCATCTCCCAAACACCTGTTGTCCTAGGCTTTTTAAAAAAAGATGGCTCTTTAAAGGTTCCTAAAAGATGGTTCTTTTCTTTAGTAAAGAAAATGTTTCTGTATAGAACTATGAACACTCGAAGAACCCTATGCATGATTAAAGGGTTTTTTGCATTGCGCATCTTCAGACTGATGTAGAAGGTGCTGAAGATGGTTCTATATAGAGCTTTTCGAAAAGGGTTCTTCTAGTGTTACGATGTCAAGCTTATAAAAAATAACTTTTCAAAAAAGATCTGTACAGAATCATATACAACACATGCTCCATCAATCTGAAGAACCGTTCATGATGCAAAGAATCCCTTAAAAATCAAAAGCATTCTTTAAGGTTTTTTTTTTACTAAAAGAACCATCCTTTCTGGGTATGTATATCTATGGACATCACACTTCCAAAGAAGGGGAACATGGAGAGGCATTTACGAACTATACACAGAAACTACAACGACGAATTCCCAGCTAAAAGCGAACTCAGGAAGAAAAAAGTGGTCCAGGCTATACAAACCTGGCTGACAACAAGGTTAGTGTGATTTTTCTGTTTCCTGCATTCACACATCTCACTTACAAAAATGATATATATATATATATATAAAAACACAAAGATTCTTTAGGGAACTAAAAATGGTTCTTCTATGGCAGCCCTCCATATAACCCTTTTGGCACCAGGTTTCTTTTGAATCAAGCTGGTGGAAGGATAAGAGCAAACAATACTAGTTCATGGAGCTATCTTGTTTGGTGTCAATAGTGCAGATTAGTAGTGTTAGCATAATGGAGTGGGAATGTTTTCATGGCACACATCAGCGCCCTGATACCTATTTAAGATTCTGTCAACAGCATGTTGACACTTCCAGTATGATAATGCACCGTGCTACAATGTATTAGTAGTCACAATCTAAGTGTATGTTTAAAACAGTAGCTATACCCTTTACACACACAAACTCCTTATGTAAACATCATTACATAAAAATGGATAAAAACTCATCTCAAAATTCACTCAAATTCATCTAGGAATTACGTAGGAATTAAAAATAATACTGACCACAAGATGGAGCCACTGAAAAAGACAAGTTAACAACAGGGGTTTCCTGCTCTATACAAGGCAACCTGCAGAAGAATGACATCACATTAAATTCTCAAGCTTTGTCATCAACTAACCTACTGACCTATTAAAACGTATGCTAATGCTGGAGTTATAGACCACAGAATTGCATAAATTATAACATAATTTTAGGCTATTTCACACTGCCTGTGTGCAGTGATTAGGGAAGCAGTGGAATTACGTTCAGGATAGGTCTTCAGGACACCATTCTCTAAGCTTTGTAAGCTCTAACCATTTTAGAGTATTATAGAGCTCCAACTATTACAGAGTGGTATAATTAAATATTATAACAACAACAACAACAATAATAAATTCATAAGCCAACCTCTGTCTGGTGACCAGTGAGAGTATTACTGACCTGTGTGCAGTAGTGCCACCTGCATCTCCATTGGTGTCTGCGTTATAGTAATTCTGGAACTCTACAGATTCTAAATGAACAAACAGAATTAATAACAATTATGAATCTCATTAGCTAAAGACTTTTATTGTTTCAGTTTAATCCTGCATAAAAATGACAATGGCTCTTATTAATTGTGATGGTGATGATGAGTGTATTTTACTAGGTGGGCTGCAGCCTGTCCTTCTTGTCTGAATGAAACAGTTGTTATCCATGGCGATGTCACACTCTTCCAGAATCTTCCTCACTTCTTCATAGCACTTTGGGGTAAAACCCAGTACCAGTTTTAGGCAATAACTGAAGGTGTTTCAGTACATGTACATGTAGTTGAATCTAGTACATTCAGCTTTATGTTTAGGAATACAAGACCAGAAAGGATGTTATATACATAGACTTCAGAGGATCATCTGACCTCATCATCTCTTACACACTGCATGGACAGCTGATTACAATGATCCCACAACACACAGCGCAAGATACCAATGCGGTCTGACTCCTGCTGCTGAAACACCTAGAACACACAAATGAATTCATACACTGTTACAGTAAGTGCTTAAAAGTGTCACTTCTACAATTATATTGCATTCACTCCCTCTTTTATACCTCACATGTGCTCCTGTATGTGCTTTCCCAGTCCTGACGAATGTTTTCCAGTTTATCAACATGCCACATATACTGCTTTTCTGTGTTACAGAAGAATAAAACATCTTTTGTCCAGCTTTAAATGGCATTCAAGTTGATAATATGAAAAAGTTGGTTATATGAAAACAACTTAATAAGGCAGAAGAGTATGCCTCATGTCTGTCTACTGATTAGGATCCTTCAGAACAATTCTGAAATCTGCTACATGTAGATTACAAGACTCCTAGTGAAAAAAATGTTGTTGGACCCTTTTCCTTGCCTCTAATACTGGTATGACCAGTAAGTGGTGTAACTACATGTAGGTATGTGAGATGGCACATACCTGCTAGTCTGGCTGCTTCTCTGCACAACCGGGCCCTGTTTAGTACCTAAAGATAACAAAAAAAGCATATGAATCACCGAATCACATAGATGATTAGCCATAATTCACGATTAGTCACAAGTGTTCAGTTATGTTTTCTCTTGTGTACATACTGCTGAATTGCTCATGTACTGCTGCACTCAAGTGTATGTTAAGTGCATGTACTACAGTTCCCTATGAAACAAAATAGTTCTCTAGTTCAGCTCAGTTCTTCTTTAAAAATTAGGCCTAGTCAATATGAAACGATTCAATCTTGTTATCGAAGGCTTTCTATTCCTTCTGAAACCAAAACTGTGTCTACTGAAAAACACCAACAAACTAAACTAACAAATTAGTGCACTTAAGAAATGTCAGCTCAGACTGTTTCAAAGCTTGGAACAGACAAAAGTATTGAAAAATGTGCTCATCCTCATTAGTATTATTACAGCTGCAAAGGCTGAAATTTAAGCATGTGAGATTTAACATTGTTATAAAAGGTAAAAAAAAATCACGAATTAATTAATTAACTTGGCAAATAAATCCCCTACCTTTTCTGTCTGCCTCAGAGGGGTAGAGGCAGGGCTGCTTTTTTTCTCCACCGCTTGCTCTGCTTCATCTGCCTCTTTACATCTTTGCTCATAACACCTCTTAGACTGATAACAAGAAAGAAAATAAATTTGTGCGTCTTGAGCAACAAGAGAAGCAGAATAAGAGGCTAATGTATAAACGTAACCGTAAACTAATGGTGTAGGCTGCCTGAGTATTTTTACTATGCCTTTGGTCATGTAAAACAGGAAATCATCTTTCTCGCCTTCTCTCTCTCATTCTCTTTCGCCACAATTGCCCTACCTTCTTGGCCTCAGTTCTTACACCATCTGAGTGGGTAGTCACTCTTAGATGTTTTATGTGTTTCCTCACTGTTTCTCCATTCCTCTTCTTCTTTCATTCCTAACTGCCTCTGACGCGGCCCTATTTATTACACTAAAACAGATATTTCCTACACTGTACAAATTAATTAAATAAATAAATAAATACAAAAATAAATACATAAGTAGCAGTTCTTCAAATATAATGAAAAGACCTAACATTCTGCACTTGGATATCTACATACATTTTTTTTCCTACTTACCTGCAATTTAAAAACAATGTTTTTATGTATTTTCTTACATAAAACAAAAGCTTTCGCAATTAACATATTTCAAAACTGGAGTCAGAACACGTCAGAGATTTGTTTTGCACACTTATTTTTAAGCTGCTGCTGAAGTGTTCCTTAAAATGTACCCAAATAATTCACATATGTTCTCTTCTTCTTACATTATGTGATTTATAGCCCTTACTTGAAAGTCGGCAGCAGGCAGATGGTGAAGTGGCAGAAATCTTGTTGGTGCCCTCCAGACTCCAACCAGCAATGTTTTGTTTGAGTGTATGAGTGCCTTAATTACTGAGCCACCACCATAAATTGCTTAGCAGCATTTCAGTGTTATTTTGCTATTACACTGTAAAGAGTGAAATGTTCAGTTTGATCTGAAAAAATCTTGCAAATGCATTGCATTGTTTTTTTTTTGTTATTATATCTTGCAATATATATATATCATCAAAAACATGGCAATTACTTTTTTGCTTCTTAAATCATTCAAGGCAGCAAGCTTGGTTTATTCTTGTGGCTTATTTTGAACTTCTCCTAGTGTTGCAGTTTGTATTATGGCACAAGTAGACCTTATTGTTCCAGTAAGTGAGTTTGGAGAGTCTGTTTCGTAATGGGCTCACCTCCATGGTCCTCTTGTATAAGGCCTCTATAGGTTTCTGGACCTTCTCAATGATCTCCTCAAACTGGAACCAGTCAGAACATAGAAACTGGCCATTATTCCCACCACCTCATAAATGATCTGATTGTACTTGTCATTAAACAATTTCATTTAAAATAACATGGGGCACAGTTTTTTGGCACCTTTAGACTTGCCAATGAATAAAATCTGATATCTTTCTATTTATATTTAAATTTTATTAATCGTAATTGAGGTTGAACATTTTTTTAAGAAATTATCCAAAGACTGCTATGTCACTGGAGTGCAAATATGAGGTGACACATATTCCATTTCTCTTACTCCTCTTGGCTGCATCATGGGGATGGTCAAAGTACTTATAAATGGATTGAATTGTTGTTTATATTGCTGACACTGAAAAATAAGTAAATTACAAAACATGTGACTACATGCCTTAAAAGTATGATAAGATGCCACCTCTATGCCAATAAATTAATTAAAAAGCTCAGCAAAAAGCCTCTTCTGTCATTGAGCCTAAGGCATAAGTGCCTGGAGTTTGCAAAGCTTTTTTAGAACTTTAGAATAAATGAGGGCCAAAGACACCAAGGGATATGAGGAAAGGGGTCAGATGCTTTGCTACATAATCTTTCATTTCATCAAATATAGGAGAAGACTCTCCAGTGTTTTGGTGCACAAAGTTTTACTTTTAATGGTACCAATAATTGCAACTTAATTAAAAACAATTTGTTTGAACAGACTGTTGTACAGTACAAGATGTTATATGTATGTTAAATCTCCAGATGTGTCATTATAATTTAAGCATACATATTGGTATATGGCAAGTGTTTCTTATTATACTACAGTGTGCAAATACTGTACACTCATGAACTCCTACCCTTTGACAAGTGCTGTAGTGTGATGGTAGTTTCCTTCCTATTGCACCATTAGTAACTATTACAGTTGTAACTCTAGACACCAAGCAAACCTAGTTGCTGTGAAAGTACCATCAGAACGCACTGGGTCTGACTCATATACTGTACCTTCTTTCTTTGTTCTCTCTGATGTTCTCGGAACGCCTCTATTTTCTGAACTTCCTCTTTTATCATTCCAGAAAGCTGGATGTGCAGACTCCCTGTGTGCTCTATTTCTAGAACACAAAGCAAGACAGTTTAAGACCTCTGACTTTCCAAGCGTGAGCGGAAACGTAAACATTTGCCCTTATATGTACCTGCTTTAAGCCGATCAAATGATGCTCTCAAGGTGCTTAAAAAAAAGAAAATGTCACAGAATTATAGCAGTATTATTTATTTACATTCTTTGTTTTTCATAGGCAGTACAGCTGGAGGAACGTTCTGTGTCACAGGAACGCAAATTAACAGTGACGTGGGACTAGCGTCATAACAAAAACCCAAGCCTATTTGCTGACCTGATCTCAGTTTGCCCTCCTGTCCTCCGAGCAATTGCCACTAGTTCTTTTCCAAACTTTTCCTCTGCAACTGCTCTGCATATACAAAAAGACAGACACTGGTGTACACAAACATATACAGGTGAATATGATAGGTAAACCCATTGTGGTTAGCCCACGAATGGCAAAAAAAAAAAAACTTAAAAGTGTTAAAAGCGTCCTTAAAGTGACCCTGGAGACTGATATAACTTCTACAGAGTACAATGAATCAAGTAACTTCTTAGTATAAATGTGAACCAAAAATAGGTAAATGGCTATCTATATTACGTTGTGCTTTCTGTATACGTGTAGTACTGTACCTCATTCTGAGTAGTTCCTCCACATCCTTACACATTCGTCTGCCATCTTGCAGTCTCTGAAGTATAGCCTCATAACCAGACCGGTCAGAAAAATCTGCCCCCTGAATAGACACAACAAATCTCTACCATGTAACATAGTTTGGATAACAAATTATTAGTTTTTGATAATAGAAAATGCACAACAACACCAAGAGATTGACACTGATCTACATTGTCAATGTCCTAACTCTCTCCCAGGACTGACATTTTTACTTTTTACAGGAATGGAAAGATGTAGTTAAACTCGGGTCAGCATGCAGCAAAAAAGGCATAGTAAAGTTTGGAGATGTTCTAATATTCTGTACAGTTTGTTTATCATCCTCTAACTACTTGGTTTCATGATATTTAATCTCAATATTCTCATTAAGAGAATGCAACCACTGTTAGATTGTGCTATATGGGTGCACCCTCACACCTGTAATGTGTTATGATAGTTTCAGAAGATGATGTCCTTTTTGATTACTCGTTTTGCTATGCTCTTCCCTCTTGTCTATTGGTTCTTTCCTTTATGCTAAAAGCTTCTGCCAGCTTGCACTATTGAGGGAAGGTTGAAGGACAACGGAAGAGGTGTTCACTCAGGATGTACTATTTAAATTTTTATGTAAAAAGAAACACAAGTTTCTTTTTACATAAAAATGAAAACACAAGTGATTAGCCTGCTAGAAAAACCAACACAGACCAGCAATGCTAGTAACCAGCAAAAGCATCATATGTTGTGATTGGAATGCGGTAAGCTGGTCAGCAGCAATGGAACTTGTTAGGCTGATCACTAACAAAACCAGTAAATGCTGTGTTTTGAGTGCTGATGTGCTCGTCAACCAGCATAAATCAGCTTAGACCAGCATCGATTGCATGCTTGTCAGTGTTTTTTTAACAGGGTAAGCAGCATTTCAACACCCACTGCTACAGTACTACACTTCAGAGGAAAATAAAGTTCATCCTATGGTGGATCGACGTGCTTTAAGCTAATATAAACTTATTTTAATTTTAATTGTAAGCTACTTGTGATGAGCTGCAAATTTACTTCACGACATTGGCCAATGTCAGTGCCCTAAAATATGATAATTCTGATATAAATATGATATTTCTTTTGCCCACCATGTTAATAGGTGCGGCATTGTACTGATTCATTCATTCAACTTTTATTTAAACTCGAAAATACATTGAGAAAAAACCTTCATTTTGAGTATGTGAAATTGATGTGTCTCTTGCAAGCCTACCTTCCAACTTGTTTTCTAAGCCAGCAGCAGTCCGTTTTGGACAGGTATAATGATGACGAACATGACATTATCATGTTCACTGTTCACTAATAGTTTCTGTTAAAACAGAATTGTTCTCAGAACTCTGAAGCTGCTTACCCAAAAAGCATCACGAAACTGTAGAGCCGTCATTCAGACGAATTTCTGTGTTTGTTCTTCAGAAAAAGAGACAACTGTACTCCAAGACGTTCTTAACGCAGAGCTGCTTGAACGGAAGAAAAAAAAATCGAATGGCGCATACATGTGTGTGGGTCAACCCGAGAGGGAGGAAGAGAGATGAGGAACAGATCCTTTAGCTAGCTCCTTGTGACGAGGAAGAAAATGTTGCTGGTAGGGTGTTTTTAGTTCTGCGTTTTTGGAAGAGGAAGAACTACAGAGTGTCGTCTTCCACGGAAGAAACAACTATGAATAATAGGTGTGAACTTTGACTGTCGAAGTCTGACATCAATTGCCCAAAGATTTTAACTTAAAACGTTGTTTGTGGTGCTAAGGTAACTTGTGTATAGCTTTTCGAACCCTAGTTTTATGGGTGCGAGCAACGTCATGAAAAGTGATTGCTGTGCTGCTCCTTTGCCAACAGAGGGAGTCATTTGTCTTGTCTGCGCAAGATTTGGTTATGCGCATTTTCACTGTTTCCAGATGGGAGATGTCTGGACCTATGCTGCCTGAACAGAGCCCCAACAGAGAGTTCCTTCATCAGCCTCACATGACTAGTCCCATTAGAGAGTATTGATCATCTGAGTGTGATTGAGTGAACAAGCATTTGATTTTATGATCAATAAGAAGTGTGAAAATCCAATCACACCTTTTGAAAGGGGAGAAGCAGGCGATCACATTTCTTTATGCCTATGTGCAAAACCGACAACAAAAGTGCACCTATTCGGACGGGATTAGTTTTACGTGAGGAGGTGGGGTAATGTAATTATTACCAGCGTTTCTCGGTGATTGTAGTCCCTCCCGAACGTTCAGTGTCAGATGTTTTACCAACTGCGCGCTCCCGCGTCAGTAAAACTTGCCTTCAGTAAATAAAAATAACCTCGGTTATTAGTCCAGTGCGAATCGACATGTCGAAAAAACGCTATCATATTCAGTGGAAACGGAGTTTCTTAAATATGGAGACACTCGACGAAGCGTTTACTTGTGTTCTCTGACGAAGCTGAAGTCAGCTTCTTGTTCGAAATTTCCCGTTCCACCTTTAATGTGCGGCAGTCAACGCCCGAGGCGCCAGAATGTAAATGCCGAAACTACGGGTCATAGATATGCTGCGCTGGGTGCAGGCACGTCAACAGCGCCGCCATTTTTGGGCGGTCAATACTGATGGACTGCATTCAGTACCATTATAGAGGGGCAGTTTAAGAAAGATACCGTCCAAAATGATACTATTTCAAGATTATTGCACTCAGAAAGTGTGACAGAATTATATAACGGAGGGAACGCAGCGATCATGTTTGTGTGATGTTTATGTGTAGATATGGCCGTGTGGTTGGTGAGGCACAGAGAACCTGTCGGTGTGATTGTTTTTCCTCTGGTTTTATATTAAGCTTATTTCATTTAATAGTCTATTCAGGGGATCCTAACTTGTAGTTGTTATTTATTTACAATGATGGTTAATACTTTGTAGCTAGGTAAATTATAGCATTCCTTAATTTGTGTATTCATAATAGATTAACTTTAGCACCTTATTAAAAGAAGCTTAAGCCAGCTTCTTATTTGCCAGTTTCTTGTTCGAATTTTCCCGTTACACGTTAAATGGTGCAGCTTCAGGCACCAGAAAGGGACTGCTGCACCGTTTAAGGTGGAACGAGAAAATTAATACAAGAAGCTGGCAAAATGGAAGCTAACTTCAGCTTTGTCCTTCATGTGTTTTGGGGGTGTACTTTATTTTATGTGTATTAAGATTATGATTCACACATTGATGGATTTGCTGATGTGTGTGAGATTGTGTTTCTATCGGAGCCCGCGCTAAACTTTTAACGTTAGGTGCAGACTGAATAATTTCTTGCTGGTCCGATGGCTAATTAGTTTGATCAGTTATTAAAGAAATACAAGGTACAGAGAGCAGTCCATGCAACCTAGATTAGTCTATGTCTGAGGATAATAACAAAACAAATTTGGTGAAAATCGGTTGAGTATTAGATGTGGTCGATTTAATCTTGAGAACTCCTCACCTCTAAATACAAGTGAATTTGTTCACAAGCAGATCTTAACCGCTCCAACATGGTGGACGCGCAGACGTCGCCAGAGAACAGACAACGCAGCATCTAGGTATATGTATCTATGCTCAGGGAAATGTAGCTAATAGCTGTAGCGCCTACAAATTTTTGTGTAGCTACAGTGAAAATTTTCACTACAGGCTTCAGGCAATCCGCGCAAAATCTGAACCATAAAACGCGGTCGTTAACTGGGCTAGCGGCGACTGTGCAATAATGACTGAGCCGCGGACAGTTCGAGCAAACGGGCACGCGCTGGAAATAAATGCAAATAAATCCAAAAAATAAATCCAAATAAATCCATTCCTCTCCAAATTATCGATGTTCGTCTCAAATCTTTCTCTTTGCCATTTTCTTATCTGCGTTGCCGTGTGACCAGCAGTCTGTGCGTCAGTCTTCAGCGTTAAAGGATGGTGAATTAGCAGTTATGCGTTAACTCCAGCGTTTAAAACCATTTATTGTGAAAACTGTGGTAGAACTGTGTGTTATAACGATTTTACAGCAAATGAGGATTATGTTATTTTACCTAAAAATCTAGTTCTGCTGTGGAGCCTCAAAAGCTATGCAGCAGTGGAGACATTATTCAGGCCTGATTCTTACCCCAAACAGAGTCAGGGTCACTGATGAGAATTTTGAGGCTGAAGTGTTGCTGAAGTTTAACAAAGGACTCTGAATATCATGTCTGTCTGTATCTTGCTGAAATGTTTAAATTGGAGCAGTTTTATTTCAACAGTTGACAATGCTTTGCACAAAATTGCTTGGTTTGTATCTGGTTATTTTTGTTGATTTTTTGAAGGAAAAACCTGGACTGATTACTTTGCCTTTAGTCTTTTTTGTTGGATATCACACCTTTGGTTGTGTAAGTTTGATTGTTGGTTACACAAACTTACTTTTTGGTGATCTTTTTGTATATTTGCAGCTTTTCAATTGCATTTTTCTTTCTGGCACATGATTAAATGCAGTGTCTTGTTCACCCTTTCAGTTGGGTTTGTTTGGTGTGTCAGGTGGAAATTCACAAACATTTTGACAATCATGCTTTGAAAGTAGCTAAAAAGTAGTGCACTGCTTTTCAATAAGTAGCTAACTACTAATTTTTCAGTAGCTATCCCCACCCTGTCTATGCTACTGGTCTACATGAGTCAGGCAGTAATCGGATTTCTGCTTTACAACCGGCCAATAAACTCACAGAATTACGTGAACACGTAACGTAAACGTAATGTTTAACTCAAACCAGAGAACTGGTAGAGAGGAGAATTACCACTCTGTAATGAGTCCAGAATGAATGGGTTCAGATGGAGCATTTGAGCAAAATCATAGTTTATAAATGCTTAAACGTTTTTAATGTAAAAGAATTCATTTATTTCCTGAACACTGAATAGCATAAACATTTTAATACTGCTGGTATATATTTTTTAAGAGCTTTAACACTCAAGTTATAGGAGTTTAAACGGCACCTCATGTAGGTCCATGACGTCTGTGAACGCAAACAGCCAATGAGCTGCTCCGCTCACCTATCAATCAGCACTCAGTAGCAGTAATGCCAGCCCTCTGCTGCCCAAAACCCGTTTACTGTAGGAAATATATAGGTAAGTTTTCTTTGCTTTTTTTAGTGAAATACATCTTTCCACTTTCTAAAATGAAAGGAAAGTTCTGGGCGAGTGATTAGAAACTATTTTAACTTTTCGTTTTTAGCTGTTGAGCTCCATTTACTCCCTTTCATTGAGGACTCCCTCGCGGGCGCTCTCTGCTGGATTGCAATCCTGTTTTTGATATAACGGGGAAAAATAGGAAGTGGCCAGGCTCTTCATAAAACGGCTCTGCTCAAACTTCATGCCGCAGCTTTTTTTTTTAAACTCATCTGGATTTGTTTTGGATTTCTTAGTCTGCGCATGTGCAGAACAGACTGCTATACCATAAATAAACAAGCGGCATTGCCGCAAGATGTTAGCAAAACGCCTGGAAGTGACGCTGAAACCAACTACATTCTTGATGAAATGAAGGACTTAAATATTCTTCATCTTCTAGATTGCAGATGTTTGTTCACTGGTGCCGGTGGAGCCGTCAGAATGTAACTGCTGCACCGTTTAAGGTAGAACGGGAAAATTCGAACAAAAATCTGACTTCGGCCTCGCGACTTTTTAATGTTTGACAGTTTCTCGTTGCAGACTAAACATATCAGGAAACCAGCCGAGTGCTTATAAATGCAAACAAGAAAAAGTCCACCGTGGCGCTACGGACCCTGATGAACCGGTGTTGTGCCGAATTCGGCACCCTGCCGCGAGATGCACCCCTCACGGGAGCGCGCGCTCAAAGTCTTTTGCTCGAAAGCGGAGGTCATCCCCTTTTACTTTACATATATCGATTTGAAGAACTTGCAAAACCACCTTCGTTTTGATCAACAACACAATAAATCGCTGTTTGGAAACACCCCAGATGTTCTTCTAAAGTACAGTGACTCGTAAATAGTAATACAAAAGTATAATGTAGCCTACATACACCGCTGCTTACTTATTCTACGACACAGCAGTCTGCATTGACTTTGTATGCAGCAAAACTTGTTGCTTGTTGCTATTTGTCAACAAAATACACATATGAATTTCACCTACTTATCGTGTCATAGCAGAACACTGGCCAGAAAATGCCAGTTTTGCTAAATTGGTGTTGCATCCCTGATAATTTATTGCAGAAAACACATGTTGGCCCTAAGTGTATATTACTAATATATTTCATAGTTCTGTTCATAAAAAACGTTACAAGAGAATGCTTTTCAAGTGAGTCCACCTGTCAGGAAAAGAACCCTCTGTTCGATCTGGCTGGGGGGTTGTTGTATCTATGATACTTGTAATGGTTTCACATGTTGGTCACAATTATGTGTGATTAAAAACATATTATAGTTGTGTCATCAGAAAGAAAGTTATAGGGGGGTGCCTTTTAAGGCAGCCCACATGCCAGGAAATGCACCCCCTCTTAAATCTGGCTACATGGTTATTGCATCCATGAAACTAATAGAGGTGTCACATATTGGTCTAAAATATGTGTGATTAAAAACATATCATAGTTGTGTGAAAAGAAAAAAAGTTAAGTGGGGTGCCTTTTAATCCACCTGCTGGAAAATGCACCCCCTCTTTAATCTCACTAATCTGGCACATGATTAAATGCAGTGTCTTGTTCACCCTTTCAGTTGGGTTTGTTTGGTGTGTCAGGTGGAAATTCACAAACATTTTGACAATCATGCTTTGAAAGTAGCTAAAAAGTAGTGCACTACTTTTCAATAAGTAGCTAACTACTAATTTTTCAGTAGCTATCCCCACCCTGTCTATGCTACTGGTCTACATGAGTCAGGCAGTAATCGGATTTCTGCTTTACAACCGGCCAATAAACTCACAGAGTAGTATCAACAAACCTGCTGGGAAATGCACTGCTTCTCAAATCTGGCTATATTGGGCTCCCGAGTGGTGCAACCGTCTAAGTGTTGGCCCTATCAGCAGGAGATCGCGAGTTCGATCCCTGGTGATGCTACAGCCATCTGTAGCCGGGAGTCCGAGAGAGCACAATTGGCCTCGCTCTCTGGGTGGGTGGGATGGCTGCCCTTCTCCCCCCATCACTCACTCAGCGCGATGCTAGTCAGCGCAGGCGTCTGTTAGCTGACGTAACAGATCTGGCGGTTGGCGCTTTCCACCGAGCGCGTTCAGCTGTCCAGTGACGTTGCGTGAGCGGCAGCTCGAAAAGAAAGCAGTGGCTGGCTTCACAGGTCTCGGAGAAAGCCTGTGTTAGCTTTCACCCTCCTAGCGTTGATAGCATCGTGTGATTGGGGGAGTCCTAACTAGCGGGGTAGAATTGGAGACGACTAAATTGGGGAGAAAATCGGGGTAAAAAAAAATCTGGCTATATTATTATTACATCCAGGATGTTTATACAGGTAATGCTTATTGGTTCCAAATATGTTGAAGGGATGCTTATTGGTTCCAAATATGTTGAAGGGATGCAGATTATCTGCCGTAATCAAATTTGAATATTTTGAATTCTTGCTTAAGAATATTTTTCTCCAATCTATGTCAACAGACATGGCAGTGACCGATGGTAGAGGAGACGGAACTGGGTATTTTAGTCATTGTATATAACTGGGTGAAAGGTGACCTTTTGGGAACCTTCAAGGCCTTGGGCCTGAGACTCTTGCTGATAAGATTACGAGACACCATGTCTTTGTTGACTGAATCTCACCAATGACTCTGTTCAGTTTTGTTCCTAAGCCTATCTAAGTCTACATTATAATAGTTTTGTTTTGTAATAATGGATCAGTAATTATATGTGTAGATTGTCTCATTTACATATAATATGAAAAAGCTCTAACTGTCTCAATGACGTCTGGGTCAGATGGGAAGACACCTGCGAGGGCTCTCACCCGACCACTTTCTGTCTTTCTGTCTCTGTCTATCTGCCTTTCTCTCTCTCTCTCTCTTAAGTCTTTTAGCATGCTGATTTTCTTTAAGCTTTGCCTTAGTTAAGCCTTTGTGCATGTGGTTTAAGTGAACGTAATAATCTGTTGAGATTATTTTTCTCTATTTTTTATATTTTCTTTATTGTATGTTTCCTTGGTATGTTTGTTATCCTGAAAAACATTTTTCTTGTTAAATTTCATAATCTATTCTACTTTTGAAATTCAATATGTGGTTTAGTTTTTGGGGCATATAGCATTACATAAATTATGAATGGGTGTTTTTCATACATTTGCAAAGTTATATCAACTATGCAGTGGTAAATTACAAACAAAGTTAAAGTTACAGGGGGATGCTGTTTGTGGCACACCACCTTTCACAAGATGCACCCTTTCTTATATTTGGCCATTAAATGTACGAATACTTTGTCAAGTGAGTGGTCATTTCCCACAAATATAGATAATTTAATGGCCAAATGAAACAAGAAAAATGTTTTTCAGGATAACAAACATACCAAGGAAACTATATAAGAAAATATAAAAATAGAGAAAAATAATCTCAACAGATTATTATGTTCACTTAAACCACATGCACAAAGGCTTAACTAAGGCAAAGCTTAAAGAAAATCAGCATGCTAAAAGACTTAAGAGAGAGAGAGAGAGAAAGGCAGATAGACAGAGACAGAAAGACAGAAAGTGGTCGGGTGAGAGCCCTCGCAGGTGTCTTCCCATCTAACCCAGACTCTCAATGACAGTTAGAGCTTTTTCATATTATATGTAAATGAGACAATCTACACATATAATTACTGATCCATTATTACAAAACAAAACTATTATAATGTAGACTTAGATAGGCTTAGAAACAAAACTGAACAGAGTCATTGGTGAGATTCAGTCAACAAAAATATGGTGTCTTGTAATCTTATCAGCAAGAGTCTCAGGTCCAAGGCTTTGAAGGTTCCCAAAAGGTCACCTTTCATCCAGTTATATACAATGACTAAAATACCCAGTTCCGTCTCCTCTACCATCGGTCACTGCCATGTCTGTTGACATAGATTGGAGAAAAATATTCTTAAGCAAGAATTCAAAATATTCAAATTTGATTACGGGAGATAATCTGCATCCCTTCAACATATTTGGAACCAATATGCAATACCTGTATAAGCATCCTGGATGTAATAATAATGTAGCCAGATTTGTGAAGCAGTGCATTTCCCAGCAGGTTTGTTGATACTACAATGAAACATTTTTAGTAATGCATATTTGGGACCAATATGTGACACCTGTATAAGTATCATATAGCCAGATTTTAGAGGGGGTGCATTTCCTGGCAGATGGACTGCCTTAAAAGGCACCTGCCTATAGTTTTCTTTCTGTTGACACAACTATAATATGTTTTTAATCACACATATGTTGGACCAATATGTGATACCTGTATAAGTATCATGGATGTAATAATGGTGTAGCTAGATTTTAGAGGGGGTGCATTTCCTGGCAGGTGGACTGCCTTAAAAGGCACCCCTCTATGACTTTCTTTCTGTTGACACAACTATAATATGTTTTTAATCACACATATTTTAGACCAATATGTGTTACCTGTATAAGTATCATGGACGTAATTATAATGTAGCCAGATTTTAGAGGGGGTGCTTTTCCTGGCAGATGGACTGCCTTAAAAGGCACCCCCAACTTTCTTTCTGTTGACACAACTATGATACATTTTTAGTAATACATATTTGTGACAAATATGTGATAACTGTATAAGTTTTGTAGATGTAATTATAATGTAGCGAGATTAAAGAGGGGGTGCATTTTCCAGCAGGTGGATTAAAAGGCACCCCACTTAACTTTTTTTCTTTTCACACAACTATGACATGTTTTTAATCACACATATTTTAGACCAATATGTGACACCTCTGTTAGTTTCATGGATGCAATAACCATGTAGCCAGATTTAAGAGGGGGTGCATTTCCTGGCAGGTGGACTGCCTTAAAAGGCACCCCCCCTATAACTTTCTTTCTGTTGACACAACTATAATATGCTTTTAATCACACATAATTGTGACCAACATGTGAAACCATTACAAGTATCATAGATACAACAAACCCCCAGCCAGATCTAACAGAGGGTTCTTTTCCTGACAGGTGGACTCACTTGAAAAGCATTCTCTTGTAAGGTTTTTTTATGAACAGAACTATGAAATATATTAGTAATATACACTTAGGGCCAACATGTGTTTTCTGCAATAAATTATCAGGGATGCAACACCAATTTAGCAAAAACTGGCATTTTCTGGCCAGTGTTCTGCTATACAAAGCATTTCCCTGTCATTTTCTTTCTTTTGAGTCTACCATGAAATGATTTTAGCAGTATGTATTTGCAAACAGTATGTATCCATGCATGTTACATGGCAGCAATAAGAGTGTATCCCGATTTATAATGGGTTGCATCTCCTGAGATTTTTTTTACAAGTCACTGCCTTTAGAGTGTAAAATCTGAAGAACCTGATCCAGACTGGTGAGAAACATGACACGATAAGTAGGTGAAATTCATACGTGTATTTTGTTGACAAATAGCAACAAGCATATATACATATATATATAGAATATACACTTAGGGCCAACATGTGTTTTCTGCAATAAATTATCAGGGATGCAACACCAATTTAGCAAAACTGGCATTTTCTGGCCAGTGTTCTGCTATGACACGATAAGTAGGTGAAATTCATATGTGTATTTTGTTGACAAATAGCAACAAGCAACAAGTTTTGCTGCATACAAAGTCAATGCAGACTGCTGTGTCGTAGAATAAGTAAGCAGCGGTGTATGTAGGCTACATTATACTTTTGTATTACTATTTACGAGTCAGTATACTTTAGAAGAATATCTGGGGTGTTTCCATTCTGTAAAACAGCGATTTATTGTGTTGTTGATCAAAACGAAGGTGGTTTTGCAAGTTCTTCAAATCGGTATATGTAAAGTAAAAGGGGATGACCTCCGCTTTCGAGCAAAAGACTTTGAGTGTGCGCTCCCGTGAGGGGGTGCATCTCGCGGCAGGGGTGCCGAATTCGGCACAACACCGGCATGCCCCCTGCCGAGATGTGAGTGTTTTGCTTTTTGCCACTTTAGTTTATTGTTAGCCAGCTGTTTCAACATCTCCCGCTAATAGGGCTTATCTAGCGTTTTGGTTATAGTTATTTTCACCTGTTCATCGATTTATTACTCTATAGATGTTAGCTGATGTTATAGTACTCTGATAGCTGTACAGGATTTTTTTTTTTCACAAATGATTTATATCCGTTATTTATAGTTTGGTCTCCCGCATTGTTGTGCGTTTGGTGTTCTCCAACAGTTCTGGACACATCCTCAAAGTTCAATCAATGTATTTTTAAAAGCTGATTTGTTACCTAGTGAAAGCAAGACAAGTGTTCATTCTGCTTGGGTTCTTGCCACATCAATCAGTGTAATCGCAACGGTTAGTAGCTCATGTAGCAGGACAAGGGAAGTCCTTTAGCCATGCTGCTGCCATCCTGTGGAAGGTAAGTTGTGCTAAAGAATGGCTTTGCTTCAGTAGATACAGCTATAATGCAGATTAAATTTAATAGCTATTCTGTAACTGGTAATAATACTTATATAGTTTGTTTACAAACAGTTTAGCCAGCTATGCTATGTTTGTTGATGATCTGACACTTAAATACAGTAGCCCAGCTCAAAGTTATAGCTTGTAGCTTGAAACACATTGTATTACTGTGATATTCATTGATATCTGCATCCCACAGTTTAATTTGAAATTTGCCAAATTCTAAGTGAATATGAACATTTTATCAGCTGCATAAAGTGTTCTTTAACTTCATATGGTTTATATAGGCACTGATATGAATAACTAACTTTTGTGTTTTCTCAGTGACCAGAATGTAAATTTCATCTGCTCCAGGTAATTAAAAGGTTTAATCTCATATTAGAGGCTGCTTGAATGAAAGTAGATAAGGTAATTCCGGCTATGGTAAAGGTAAAATGTTTTTTTTTTTTTTTCTAGACTTTGTTTTCTTAATAGACATCTAATTCCAACTGACATACAGTTACTAAGTGTAACAGTTTTTAAGTGACAGTGTGATTAATTAAGCTTGCAGAAGTAAACAAAACTCATACCACTACAGTGGCTAATAGTTATGGTTCAAAGGGTAGTCTTTTATGTAGAATAGTCTAATTTCTTATGGGATTATTGTTGCAGTATTGAGGGCAAGTACAGCATGAAGGTAAGTACAGGAAAATGAAACCATTTATACCTTGTCTCAGTTTTTTTCCACTAAAGAATTTGTAACCGGATCGGTCATCCTTTTTAGTTGGGTCTTTTCTCAAAGCTGTGTGCTTTAAGGGGTTGTTCCTACTCCTGTCCTCTAGGGAGCTCCAGAGTAGTATTAATAGAGGAAGCCAAACAGGAAGTCTTTAAGAGTTATCTGACCAAGCACATGTACTCTCTGCTTGAAATCTCCTTGCTGGGAAACTCATTGGTTTTATGCCCATTGTAAGTGCCCATTTTCTGTTGTTCATTTGTGTACTGTTCCCCTTTTGAAACAAAATGCAGTTGCAATTGCAATGTGCAGCTTCATTGCAGTTATAGGCCATGCTAATACTAGTTGGTTATGCTAATGTACTGCTAATTATGTTATGCTAATGCTAAGCTTGTGCTAATGTTAATGCTAATAAGCTAAAGCTAAAAATGCTAAGCTAATGTTACAGCTATTTTTGTAACTAAAGTTGGGTTTGGTGTGGGTTTCTCATACGCTGTATTCATCTTCATGTGCAGATGGAGTTTTTTTTGAACTTGTATAATACATGGACTGGTTTATTGCTGGAGGACTGTTAGGAGTTTCAGACTTGGACTTTGGTAAATCTCACTTTCCAGCCCAAGGCCTTCCAGCTCTGTCTACCTGGTTACTAGCTATTCCTGCGACTGACTTCCATTCTGCCGGTGGGACTGAACCTTAACTTTTTTTCTACTTCTTTAGATTAAATGTCATTGCCACATCATAGACTTCTGACTTTAGCAGTCTGTACATATCCTTTGTGTATCTCTCTCTCTGTGTGTGTGTGTGTGTGTGTGTGTGTGTGTGTGTGTGTGTGTGTGTGTTTTCTGGGGTGGAAGTTTGTTTTATTGTTTGTGGGGTTGGTTGGTTGGCAGGGTGGGTGAACATTGGCATTGGGGGTAAAAGCTCTGAATTACGTATATTGTAAAAGTGTTTTTTTACATGTTTTTTATTAATACATCATAATTTGGTAAAGATTATTGACTAGACCTGTTTGTTGTACTGGGTCTTCCTTTGAACTCCTCTTTGGCTGCCTCTATACATCTACACACATCACAGATTGTTTTTCTAGAGTGTTCTTTAGTGAGTAAGTTACAAATTTATGTCCTAAACTAGTGTTTCTTAATGTTGCTCCTGTGCACCCACAGCACTTCACAACTTCACACATCCATTTTTTGCCTTAGCACACTTGACCCAGCTCATCAGCTAATTTTTAAGCCACTCATAAGCTCGATCAGGTGTGGTGAAGCAGGCAATAGTTATAACTGTGCAGTGCAGTGGGTCCCTAGGACCAGCATTAAGAAACACTGTGCTAAACAGTATATTAAAATTGTGTTACATGTATGCATAATTGTTTAACATACACTTTGTTACAGATGCAGAATGCTGTGTTAAAAGGATTGACTGGGATGTCCTGCACAGATAAACAGCACCAGTGAAACTCAGGGACACAACGAAATTTAGCCCCAAAAAGGCTGAGTGACATGTTTCAAGCACCACAAAATAAGTGATGTGCCTGAGAAAATGCCTGCTGTTTCTTCACTGTTACTGTGAACTCCTGTATTCAGCTCCCACAGTGCACGAAAAGAAGAGCTTAGAAGGGGCTCATGTAGCAATAGTCAGCCTCCTGCACAAATGTATCTCAGCTGAACAAGAACAAGTACCAGCAGCCACCACACAGCTTCAGTAACCACATGGTGAACACAAGCCTTATATACAATGCCAGAAATGCATGTCATTTTACACTGCATATGTCAAACTAGATGAGCTTAAATGCACCAGTTTAGAAGAAGTCACTAAAACACAGAGTGCCTCTCATATCTGGTATGATGCATGGAAAATGAGTATAAGTGCTAGCTTGGCAAAAAAGGTTACTGTGCGTGCATCCACAAGGCCAGACCATTTAGTTTTTTTTTTATTGTGCACAAAATATTACTCATTTTAATGGTGATTAATGCTTCCATTGTTTATAATTTGTAATTAAATAGCTTAGCAGTTTATATAAAGCAGTTTACTACTGTTCACACATCCATGTGGAAGAAAAAAATATTACCCCATTACCACTTGCAAGAAAAACAGACTGAATATGCTGAACAACAGGCATACTGCACATTGTAATCAGAATTTAATTGAATCAGATTTTCAATTGAAATGTTTGTGCAATAGAATTTTTGATTAAATGACTTTAAATGATTGGAAGTATGTCTTAAATTTACTAGACATTTGAACATTTGATTTGGGATAAAGCTAAACAATTTTGTATATATAAATAAATATCTCATTTAAAAACCCTCCACCCCCTTCAAAACATGGTTGGTTCCAAAACCAATCAATTTAAAACAATTTTTACATAAATAATTACAGAGCTTCACGTTAAATGAAAAACATTATGCTGCAGAATGCCACCTTCAGAATTCTCACTGCATTCTCATGGACGATGTCACCTTGCATATTCTTAAGTGCTGCACAGATTCTGAGAATTTTGTCCATTTTATGTGCCACGCTGATGGGAACAGTCTGAGAGATGATTTTGAACACCTTGAGCCACCTGATGGTCTCAGTGCACTCGATGATGCAGGTGGTGAGGTTTTAGGCATTCCTCTATTGTGTCAATCTAGAAGGACAGGATTCGGCTGACTACTCCCTGGGATACAGCCGAGCGTTCGGCAAGATCACCTTGCAGTAAATTCAGCTTTAGCTTCATAATGGTCATTAATGTTTGATCTACTGTGTGCAGTGACTAACTAGAAGCGTTGCACAAAAATCCAACAGACAGACTCCATTGTAACACCAAAAATAAGGTGGATACATGCACTCAGAAATCTGATTACTGAGCTAAAATCCTGCTCTCTTTGTCGGATTTCTTAATCGGATTTCTAGACCTTACTCTGATCCAAGAAATCAAGAGTATGCTGTTTATATGACCATTTTAATAATCTGATAAGAAATTCGATTATGATCAGATTATGTAAACGCTCTCAATGATGTTGCGTGAGCGTCAGTTTGAAAAGATGTGGTGGCGGGCTTCACTGGTCTCGAAGGAAGCCTGTGCTAGCCTTCGCCCTCCTAGCGCTGGTGGTATAGTGTGATTGGGGTCTTAACTAGTGGGTGGAACTGGATATGACTAAATTGGGGAGAAAATTGACAAATGCAGTCTTTTTCTACAGTTATCGAATTATTGCATGTAAACACACTCAGTGAGGTAAATTGTTAGGGTAAACCAAATAGTGGCTAAACTAAATGTTTTAACATCTTTCCTACTCTTTTCTGGAGTAAAGTCAGCATAAATCAAGTAGCCACACCCATCTCTGTCATTTATATGAGATTTCTTATCCCATGCGAATCATTCATAAATATTACAGTCCTGCACTGTAAAAAAAAAAAAAATCATAAAAAAAAAACAGTCAAATGACTAGCAGCAGCGGCTGCCAAACAAAAACCGTAAAATTAAAGTAAAATATCCTAATTCAAAAAAAGACCAAAAACAATAATTTTATGGAAATTTTCAATAAAGGTTTTGCAGGAAAAAACTGTTATTTTACAGATTTTTACTAAAGTATCATGATCAAAAACCTTCAATAAAATGATAGCACAAAACATTATGCAGATCAAACCGTTATTTTACAAATTTTTACCAAATTATTATGATCAAACACCTTCAATAAATAGCTAGCACAAAATGTACTGCAGATAAAAACTGTTATTTTACAGATTGTTCCTAAATTATTGTAATCAAAAACCTTCATTAAAGTGATAGCACAAACATTAATGCAGATAAAAACTGTTACTTTACAGATTTTTCATAAATTATTGTGATCAAAAACCTTCAGTAAAGTGATAGAACAAAAAGTTCTTTAACAGATGTAATTACTGCAATCAAACACCTTCAACAAAGTAAAGGCACAAACAATGTTCTGCAGGGAAACACTTATTTCACAGACTTTTTCTAAATTATTACAAACACCTTAAAAAAAACAATAGTATTTTACAACACAAACACAAAGTTTCACATCTATTTTACCCACTTAGAAAATGGGCCAAATTTGTGCCCCCACTAAATAAAGCACTTTAGAAGTAGTTCAGACATAATGGACCAGAAGTCACAACTTGAACAACTTGTCAGTTATTCAAATTAAGCAGACAGAACATTAAATTATGTATTCTAATGATGTAAGACAAGAAATGCAAATTTTACCAAATATCAACTGATTCAACAGATTCAGTTTTATATAAAAAATAGTGTCAAGAAAAGTTTGGGCTTTACTGAAAAACACAACTGTAGCTTAGTTATTTACCACTATTAGCTCAGATCCAAAACAAAGTGCTTTCAACCCTACATGACACAGGAAAATTAGGCAATATAAACATGGTGGTGCTTTCCTACCTCAGTCATGTTGAGGGGTTTAATATCTTAACACTAACATTGCACCCTACGTGTAGTAAAGAATTTACAGTTCAAAACCAACTCCTTTAAAATGACATTTCAAATGTCAGCATGAAGACAACTACAGTTTCAAAAACCAACATGAGCATAAAGACTCAATGCAGTTTATATGGTAAACATTTAACCTCAGCTGTAACGCTGGACCATCCAAAGAAACTTACTTTTCACCACATAAGAACATCTTAATCTTGAACATTTCTGTTCAGCTTATGTCCATCCAAATTCATCAAGATCTTTTGGACAAACTTAAATGTGTATTTTAAGTTGTCAGAAAGCTGAAAACAAGGGCATAAAGGAGCCCAAATACCATGATTAATGCATTTTCAAGATTGTTAACCTCTATCACAATGGCAGTGTCCCAAAGCTCAGCATCGTCCTCATCGTCTCCAAATTGTGTAAATCCCCATTGTTCACTCACATGCCCTTCTCCGCATCACCAATGACAGACCTGAACATAAATACAAACACATAATCACTGACAGGTCAGAGAAGTGGACAAGCAGAAGTCTGCATTTTCAAGGCTTGTGAAAAACATAACTGTAGCTTAGCTATTCACCATCATTAGCTCAAATTCAATCAAAATCGAATGTTAGCTGCTGTTGATTTTGTACCAATAATATTAGGAATATTAAAATGCTAATTTACTGATGTAATTGCCAAAAATGATCCTAAAGTGATCCATCTTTAGATAAATTTAGGTTCTGAATCAACTGCAGGTAGAATGCATACTGCTGATGCTGAAGTAGCATCTCAAATTTCAATGGAACCTAGATAAGGTGAACATGCAGCCACCCAATCAAATGATCATTTTTAAAGCACACATTCATCAAGTCCTGGCATGTTAACTTTGTCTGAGTCCCTCATTAAGCTATATATGTATGGCTCTAGACATCAGTTTTCTTCCAAGGATGAACTTTGAGATGTTATTTCAGCATCAGCACTATGTATTCTACCTGCAGTGATCAGAGTCTAATCAAATCAATAAATCAAAGACTCATCTTGGTTATATCTAATCATGGCAGTTACATCTGTGAATTAGTTCTGAATCATTAGATTGGAATCACAACATTATTTTGTCAGTTCTAAAGTTTGTACAGCACCACCTTCATAAAACTACTGCTTTCAGTGTTATTGCACGGATTTAGTGAAAGTGCAGATTTTGGTAAATGATTATTCTTTCCAATTACATGACATGCAGCAATCACAAATTATCACTAATTTGTAAAAAAAACACATGGTCTAATTTTCATGGTGTAATCACTGGTATCTTGAGACATCCTGAATATCTACTTATGCCTAATATCTTGACACATATTGTACATGTAAATTGTATTATAATAAACGTACCAAATATTGCTTTAACGAAGACTCTGGTCTTTGTTCAAATACATGACCAGGCTTTTAGGATGCAGTCCCTCCTGATGTTAATCCTTTTGCAGACTAAATATTTAAATTTATTGAAATTAAACGGATGTAAACCAATCTCAATGCTGTGGCCTAGAGTGGCATGTGTTTTAGTCAATTTTACTTTTTATTGGTTTCATAAAAGCTTAGAATCATTCCTGATTCAGTAAGTTACACTTCATCTGCAGAAGTTACTTTACTGTTCATCTGCATTTTATGGGTTTATTCACCTTAAATTACATTAAAGAAAGCAGTAAAACCGCTGTGGTTCAAACGAGTAACGTTAGCGTGTTTCAGACTGCTGTGCTCCGACCGAGCTGCGGTGGTTTTGGGATGGATGTTCGTTAGTTTAACGATCCGCTGTACTGTGCTGGTTCGGCGTGTTGAGAGTCTGTTTCTGAGGAATTCAGCACTAAGACTAGACACCTAACCCTAGCTACTTCAATTAGCTGCGAGCTAAGTGACCTGGCGCCTTTCGGTTCAGGACACATTAACAGTATATCGCTTTCACACTGCGCTCAACAAAAACTGACTGAACAGACGAGAACTAAACAAAGAACACTGTTTATATCAGAAAATGCGAACAGACCACAAGTTAAGCTCCCTGAGGGCAAATAACATCACTTGTTCGTGATTCACGCAGCGGTTCATTTCACTTTTTGACTTGGCTGCATAAATGACGGACATGAACACACAAGACAACTAACGCTACGTTCGACTGTTACGGAGAATAACAGGGAGAATGTTTTCTTACCTGATACTGCCACAGATCCCGTCTGACCTTCTTCTCTGTCCATATTCCAGTTTCGGTTCTCTGTTGACATCCCACAACTCAAATTCGCCCAAAATAAACTGACAGGCAGATGTAAAATAATCCAGGTAATAACCACTGCTATTTAACTGACCGAGTGGCGAAAGCAGTAGCAGCTCATCTCCTCTAACGGATTTTCAATTTTGATCGGATGAAGGGCGCGCTCAGCTGTGATTGGCCAGTTTCCTGGATGACAGTCAGATTAGCCAATCATGCTCAAAGAAACGTGGTAGGACAGCCAATGGCCATTGTTACAGCATGGTAGCATAGCAACTGTAGGAAAAAATGCTTTGGAAAAGTAAGAAAAATGAAAAATAAATGTGTATTTAGTTTAGATTTAACTAAACTAAACTAACTGTTGTGTTTAAAGTGCTATATAAATAACGTTGACAACTTCACTAAGGCAAAATAACGGCAAAGTATTAATAATATTTTTTTACTCACAAT